GTTGGTGTATCATTTGCGATGGCCAAATATAGGATTGGACTGTGGGCTGAAGAGAGACTTCGCCTACTGTGGACCAGTTCTCCTGGAATGAGACATGCTAAGGTGTTTATTAACATCGCCACTGTCAAACCCGGGAATATTTTAGGACTTGCCCGTAGTAGCATAAAAGTTCTAATGGGTGTTTTTACTGGGCACTGCCGATTAAAAGCACACCTCAACTTGTTGGGTTTAGCCGACGATGTTGAATGCCGACTATGTGCGGAGGAAGCAGAGACGGTTGAGCATGTTTTATGCCACTGCCCTGCCGTTAACCGTATCAGATTCTCGATTTTTGGGTCGCAGTTTATCTCCTCAAAAGATCTGAATGACCTTTCGCCGAGCAAGGTATTAATGTTCGTTAAGAGCATTGGACTGCACGGTGAAATTTGATAATGATATCTATCGGGGTACAATAGATCCTTAGGGTCGCGGTGCAAGGTTGGTTGGTCCGCCTACCCGATATGTATTCTATGTAATGTATTGTAATGTAAGTGCTCATTCATATTTTATTGGCAAAGTATGTCATGATTTCGAAAACTTTCTTGAATATAGTTATGATAGATATAAGCCTATACACTATACAGTTCCCGAACAGTCCCGAATGTTTATTGAGAACATACTCTCAAACTGTCAATTTAAAAGAAATGTCCAGATGACCAAAGAAAGAGAGAGAGGTCGGAACCACATTCAACATGATATCAATAGTATTTAACAATGTTTTTAGGTTCCTGCAAAAATTCTAGTCTATTTTCGATAACAAAATGGCATTTGGCACAAAAATCATGACAAGTTCCTGAATTTCACGCAGGCATTTATTTCTTTTTTGGTTACCATCCCCTTCTCCGCCGTTGTATTTTAATCGTTACGCAGCATTTAGCCAATCGCCGAACGATGACCAGAAGCCGTATGAAACGACTGAAAACCGCCCACTTTTACCGTCAAAGCGATGCCGATTGGGCACAACGAGTTCGTTCCGACCATTTTAAAAGCCGTTAGGCGGAGCTCGACAACCTAATCTCCCGATTTCTACCCACACACATCTATCCCCTTCGGACATCTTCAGGCCGTATGGCAAAATATCTCGTTCAGAAACAGTTCCGTTCGGTTTCTATCGGGAATTTGATGTGTGCCAGGAAACGAGTGAGAAGAGGCTTGCGATTCAAATTGTTTTTTGTATGTGTTTGTTGAATGAATTGCGTAACGACGACGAATGGAACTCGACCAGAACTGATGATAAAGTTGATGAACTCAAGTGCAGAAGTCAAGTCACGTTTTGTTAAATGAGGTGAAGTTATCCGAAACTAACCGGCATTAAATTAAGTTAAACCAAACTAAACGGTATTTATTTTTGTGGGTGAATAAACAGAAATGTTTTAATTTTACTGTACAACTTTATCCATTAAAATTTTTTACGAACTACCTTTGTGACTGTTTTAAAAAATCTTTTGAATAAGACAATCAAATTAGTGAATAATAAAATAAAAAATGGATAATGGTAAGTGTACAAGTTTTTTGTGTAAAGATTTATTTGTTTTTTTTTAATCTATAAAGAAAATTCGTTGAAAGGATTATTAAATGAACAATTATCTAAGATCTGTGGCGAGGTTAAAGTTTATCATCGAAGAGTTCAACTGAAAGTAGATAACGTAGCGTTAAAGTATAGCGTTTTGAAGTGGTTTTGTGATCTTTAAGGCTCACTGAAACCAAATAGGCTGTGCACAATTTACTTTAAAACATTAAACGAAATTTAATTTAAACGCTCTATACTCGTGTCTCTTTCTTCCTTTTTCCGTCTTTTCTAAAACGATCATGGAAAAAATCGAATTTCATTACAAAAAATAAAAAAAATAATAATCCCAATACAATACACACATTTATTACTATTGATCGTAAAATTGTATATCTTAGACTCGATGTTATTAAAACCTGTTATTAAAACGTGTTATTAAATCGTGGTTCTGATTCCGATTACGACCGTACTTTAAACGTTTTGATTATGATTTGCTTTTGAGGTACTATAAAATCCACGCTTCGTCGATTTTGAAACAATGGATGCAAAAAAAACTTTTTATTTAATCGAATATACTTCAATGGACGTCATTAAAACGTAAATCTATATCGAATTTATTTCCATGGTTTAATTCTTTGATAACATCTACATTTAATTCAATTTTCAATTTTTTTTTGGACGATTTAAACTTAAAACGGTAGCTATTTGAGTTTAAGTCGGTGATTTGTAAAAAGGTTTTAAACCACACACTTTACAACTCTAACATCACCTTTCGCCTTCTTCTGTCCATTTAGTGAGTAAATTTACCGAACAGTGAGCAAATATTTGGCCTTTTTAGAGCGGATTATTGGTTTAGGGCTTTTTGTGGTTGTAGGAGGATGAAACATCGGTTGATGGGCTAAGTAAACGAATCAAAATGAGCACACTCATCCACTTCTAATTTTTTTATCAATCATTTGAACGAAATTTGAAATTGTTATAATCTTTTTAACCCCTTTTTTATTATTTCATTATTTTTGAAGACTTCATTAAAATGTTTGTTTCTATTTATAATATGATAACATCTAAAATAAGCTAAATTAAATGGAACGGTGATGGAATTGAGATGAGAGCAAAGAAAACGAATGGAGCGAGGAGCAAGCTCGAGCCATGCCTCTTTTGCAATGTGGCGTAACTGTTGCACCGGACGGATTTAAATTCCACATTTTATTTCAAATTTATTTTAAAAGAAGATATCTATAAATCATAAAATATATAGGGACTTTGCATATCTTTAATTTTTCAGAGAGAAACTCACAATTTCGAAGGTAGGATTGAACAAATATTATTGTTATCGATTTTAACTCGATAATTATTAGCTCAGTGCATCAAGTGAGTCTTTGACAAAAACTCATTGAGAACGCTTGTTTTCCATGGCACACTAGGCATTTTTCCAAAAACCCTAATTATCTCCCAAACTAAATATTAATGTTAAGTATGGAACATATGGGATATAAAAGATGTAAAATGAGACACCGAAGACGACTAAGTAAAATGTCAACCTCAATTTTGACATATTTGTAATGTTCATTAAAAATCCTTTAAAATGAGTACAAACACGACATATTTATCTTGAATATTAATGAAATTATGATCAACTTCCGGTTAGAAATGTCAACGTCACTTTTGACATATTTGTAATCGTCGTGAAAAATCGTCGTCTTTTATTTTATATAGAATTTGAGTCTAACTAGTTTCGGCCCTTGGCCATCTTTAGAGGTTCTACAAATAGATTAACTAAAACTTTACATTAAAACTAGAACTAACACAAGACCTAGAGCTAGAATCATTCGAGAACTAGAAACATTCGGGTTTAGTCGTGAAATAAAATTTCAGTTGTCAATGTCAACTTAAATTTTATTATTATATTCGTAATCTTCATAAAATAACCTTTAAAGATTCCAAACTTGATGCATTTATCTCAAAAAAACAAAAAGTTCGAACTTTCATCTTTTAATTTTGACATATTTGTCAACTTCATAAAAAATCCTTTAAAATGAGTCCAAACTCGACATATTTAAATTTGATATTAATGGAGATACAATCACTTCCGGTTTGAAACGTCAACGTCAATTTTGACATATTTGTCATCTTTATTAAGAAACCTTTAAAATGAGTCCAAAGATGACGCACTTATCTCAAAACACAAAAAACTTAGAATAAAACATTAAACCTGAAGTTAGCAACAATGAAGATAGCAATTTAATTTTTAAATATTAATACCAACCTTAATTTTTTATTTTTTTTTATTATATCTTGGTTTTTGTGACAAATATTAAGACATTTTATAAAAATTAAATTGTCAAAATGACATTGACATTTCAAACTCGAAGTCGCTTACATCTCGACTAATATTGGAATTAAACGTATCATGTTTGGACTCGTTCTTGGCACCAAAACATACTCCATCATGTTGCTTTTTAATAAAAAATACATCGTGAAAGGACACCATGAAGTTGTCTATTTATCTGTTTTATGATATCTAACTTCAGGTTTAAAATGTTAATCGCAATTTTGACATATTTGTAATCTTCATTAAAAATCCTTTAAAATGAGTACTAACACGACATATTTATCTTGAATATTAATGAAATTATGATCAATTTCCGGTTAGAAATGTCAACGTCACTTTTGACATATTTGTAATCGTCGTTAAAAATCCTTGAAAATGAGCCCAAACATGATACGTTTAATTCTAATGTTACTCGACATATAAGCAACTTCCGGTTTGAAATGTCAACGTCAATTTTGACATATTCTTAATTTTTATAAAATGTCTTAAAATTTATTACAAAAACAAAAATATAATCAAAAAAATTCAAAATTAAGGTTGGTATTAATATTCAAGAATTATGTTGCTAATTTCAATGTTGCCAACTTTAAATTTTTTTTATTATAACTGTGTTGTTTTTCGAGAGAAATGCATCATATTTGAACTCATTTTAAAGGTTTCTTTTAATAAAGAATACATCGTGAAAGGACACCATGAAGTTGTCCATTTGTCTATTATATGATAACTAACTTCAGGTTTAAAATGTCAACCTCAATTTTGACATATTTGTAATCTTCATTAAAAATCTTTTAGAATGAGTACAAACACGACATATTTATCTTCAATATTAATGAAGTTATGGTCAACTTTCGGTTAGAAATGTCAACGTCAATTTTGACATATTTTTAATTTTTATAAAATTTCTTAAAATTTGTACACAAAAACAAAAGTATAATAAAAAAAAACAAAAATTAAGGTTGGTATTAATATTTAAAAATTAAATTGCTATCTTCATTGTTGCTAACTTCGGGTTTAATGTTTTTTCATTCAAACTTTTTTGTTTTTCGAGATAAATGCATCATGTTTGGGTTCGTTTTAAAGGATTTTTCACGACGATTACAAATATCTCAAAATTGACGTTGACATTTCTCACCGGAAGTTAACTTTATTATATTGAAGATAAATATGTCATGTTTGTATTCATTTTAAAGGATTTTTAATGAAGATTATAAATATGTCAAAATTGAGGTTGACATTTTAAACTTGAAGTAAGTTACCATACAGGGTGGCCATTATGTTGCAGCAGATTTTTTTAAAAAAAATCGAATATCTAGAAAACGGCCGAATTAAATTGCAAAAAGTAAAGTTATTTATAAACCTTGAAAACAGACAAATCCAAATATGTAAAAATATACAGGGTTGCTGAGGAACTGGCTAGATCAGTGTTTCCCAACTTTCTTATGCTATGCCCCACCTAAATCTTTAAAAAATTCCTATGCCCCTCCCCAACATATACAGGTTGTGTCAAATGTCTGAAATATAGCCAATATCTGTGCCATTTGTGGTTTTAAAGAAAAATGTTACAAATAAAAGATTCTTTATTAATTGTGTTGCATTTTTTGGCGATATTTGCTTGTTTACATTGTTTTTTGTTTCGTTGCTATGGCAACCAACATGTGATAGAAAACGCACTCAAAGTGAAGTTTTTACATTGTTCAATAATATTTACACAAATTACACAATCCACAGTATCCGAAATATTAAAAAAATTCTTTAACACCGGAAGTGTTAAAACATTCCAAAAAGTGGACGGCCGAAGACAGCTACCAATGACAAAACTAGATTAAATATGTGTCGCCGTACACATACATTATTAATTATTCATAATCGTTGAAACTGTAATTTTTTTGACATTTAAAGCTGTCAACGGCGTTATTTCGGCGCCTACTTTGATTTTAATTTGCTGACTTAATGCTTTCAGAAAACGCATTTTTTAGACACGTGCGGCTAAACCCAAATGATTCTAGTTCTAGGTATAGTGTAAAAGATTTGTAATCTTCATTAAAAATCCTTTAAAATGAGTACAAACACGACATATTTATCTTGAATATTAATGAAGTTATGGTCAACTTTCGGTTAGAAATGTCAACGTCAATTTTGACATATTCTTAATTTTTATAAAATTTGTACACAAAAACAAAAGTATAATAAAAAAAAATCAAAAATTAAGGTTGGTATTAATATTTAAAAATTAAATTGCTATCTTCATTCAACCTTTTTTGTTTTTCGAGATAAATGCATCATGTTTAGGCTCATTTTAAAGGATTTTTCACGACGATTACAAATATCTCAAAATTGACGTTGACATTTCTCACCGGAAGTTAACTTTATTAATATTGAAGATAAATATGTCATGTTTGTACTCATTTTAAAGGATTTTTAACGAATATTTCTAGTTCAACGTCTAGTGTTAGTTCTAGTTTTAATTGTTATACAGCGCTAGACCAAAAACTAGAATCATTTGGGTTTAGCCATCTTTAGCACGTGCGGCTAAACCCAAATGATTCTAGTTCTAGGTATAGTGTTAGTTGTACATAGTACTAGTAATTTCGTAATAATTAAATGAAAACCATTAATATAATAAAATTTTTTAATCTGTACTATTAAGCTATGT